TTATACATATGCACACTGCAAAAAAAAAAAATATATCTCTTTTAAGAGTGGGATGCTTGAAACCTAAAACTCTGTCATGGTTAGGCAGGGCTTCTCACACTTGCATTTACCATTTACCACATGACAGCCATTCTGTGTATTTCAGGATGTTTTCCAACATCTCTGGCCTCTGTTCATTCGATACCAACAGTTTTGTATCTACCCTGCCCATTCTCACCAGTTACGACAGTGAAAAATGTTTCCTGACATTGCTAGATTTCTCTTTGCAGTTGTACGGTACAGAATCTTCCCAATTGAGAGTTTGTGGGCTTAGAGAAATCCAGGGTTGACTAGAGCTAGAGTATTCATTTCTATACCTGGGTGTCAACTTCTTGAGATTTTGGGGGAGAAAACATGATTAACAATGCTCAGCAGGGTGTGGTGGTGCATACCTGTAATCCTAGTCCTGGGGTATGGAGGCCGAAGGATCAGGAGTTCAAAGCCAGCCTCAGCTATTTGAAGAGTGCATTTTTAAATTCTATCTTGAGAGGGCATGAGTGGGCTAATCTTTGTAGGGAAATAAATATAAAAGCGATATGTTTGTTTTTTCATAAGTTTCCTTTGAACTTAGTGGAGAGTTAGGATGTTTATACTTTATTGTCACCAGTTACTGCCATCTGATTTTCTTAGTGCAGATTTCTAAACCACAGAGTGATCTGTAGAATTTTCATCAAACAAAATATGATCTGTATATTAATTCAAATGGGTTGAGAATCTCACTCTGTTTCCAGGCTGGCTCAGATCTCACTCTGTCATCACTACTGGCCTCAAATTTATGGTAATCTTCCTGCCTTAGCTCTTTAATACTGGGATTACAGGCAATGTGCCACTACATCTGGGTAGAACACGATCTTAAATAACTGTTGAAACTCCTTAGTGTTCACTTTTATGATAATGAGATTTGTTTTTAGCCAGTGAAATCTCAATACAATCTTTTTTTTTTTATTTGTTTTTCATTTCATAGGGAGACCGTTCTAATCTGAGCACTAGCCAGCCTTTTCCATCTGCATTGCCTCCATTTGTTCCTCAAGAACCAACCAGCGAATCAGAATATCATTCCTCCAATCTCAGAATGTTGAGAGTATCTCCTGATGCTCTGCCAGCAACCCTCAGACGTTTAACAGGTATGTAGAAAAAGGAGGCATTAAATGTCTTCTTTATATCTACATCATAAACATTATGTTGCTGTGCTTTTCTGGCAATTTGACCCGATTAAAGAATATCCAGATAGATTATTTCTGGACATGCCCTGTGAGGGTTTCTAAGGAAGAGATTTGAATAAGTGGGCTGAGTAAGGAAGATCTCCTTTACCAGTACGTGTCTACCCAACTGACCAAGACCTGGATTAAATAGAGGCAAAGGAAAGGCACACTGGGACACCATTTTCCTGCCCTTGGATATCAGATCTCCAGATTCTTGGATCTTTAGGAAAGTTCTCATCTCTTTGCTCTGGATACCACCTGCTTCCTTAGGCTGATAGTATAGAATCATGATCTCCGATGTCACCTTACTTCTGAGAATGACTTGCAATTCTTTTATTTAGTCAGCTCCACAGCTCCATCTAGTCTTCATTGTAAATTCTAAATTTTTCAGTAGGCTACTCTCCTTTTTTTTTTTTTTTGAGACGGCATCTTACTTTGTAGCCCTGGCTGGCATTGGAGCTTGCTGCATAGACTAGGCTGGCCTGAAACTCAGAGAAGTCTGCCTAGTGCTGGGGTTAAAGGCATGTGTCACCACACCCAGCCTCTCCTTTAGATCCCCAGCCTGCCTCTATTACTTGCCACCTCCCTCATCAGCTAATACTGCTTTCTACCTCAAAATTGACCTCCTAAGTTCTTCCCTACAAGAATATTTGCACCCATGCTTATCCTTTTGAGCTTAATTCTTTTCTCCAAGTCATAAAAAATGCTCCTATAATAGAAGTGAGGGAATTTCCTATCCTCTGAATGATGTGTCGCCTTAAAATTTTTGTGTTGGAGTCCTTACTCTGTGATGACATTAGGAGATGGAGCCTTTGGAAGGTAATTAGAAAGAACTCTTCATGTTAGTTATAAAAAGGACCTCAAAGTGATCCCGCCAGCCATATGAACACAGCATGATGGCCATTGTCTATGCATAAGAGGCTCTCACCAAACCCTTAATCTGCAAGCACCTTCATCTAAGATTCCTATTTCCTTTCTGTTGTGGGGACATGAATTAGAAGCTGTTTAAATTTTGGACTAGAAAGGGCCTTTTTTATTAAGGATTTGTAGAAATAATACCACTGAGCTAGAGCTTTGGAAGAAAAGAAAAAGAATATATTTAGAATGAAAGGTGAGATTATCTGTCGTCAGACCCTGTCTGGTCAGCTAACTCCAAGGATTCACTGGTCTCTGCTCCCTCAGTGCATGTGGATGTCAGAGGACAGCTTTTGAAAGTTGCTTCTCTCCCTCCACTGAGGGCTCTAGGGATTGAACTCAGGTTGCCAGGCTTGCATGGCATGCACTTTTACCATTAATCCATTTCACTGACCCTTTGTTCGTATTGTATGCAAATAGAAATAATTGGACCTTTTCGATTTGTACCCTTTTATTTCTCTTATTGCTCTAGCTGAGACGTCAAGAAATGTATTGAATCAGAGAGGAAAGAATAGATACTCTTATGCTTTCTTTTTCCCTGTCTAGGGGAAATGTTGGCTTCTGTATAACCTTCATTATATTGAGATGTTTCTTCTATTCCTTCTTTTCTCCAGTTGGGTAGAATATTCTAAAGTACATTTGATGTTTTGTTTATTTAACTGCTTTTTTTCCCCTGATGAGTTCACTATTGCTGAGAGTTAAGTAATTCATTACTGTTGTGTTGAGTAGTTATTGTGTGAGCATTATTATTGAACTATATTAATTCCTATGATTTGGGATTTTTTGGGGGGTAAAGTTTGGTACTTAACAACCCTCATTTTCTTAATCTACTTATCTAGCAGAATTAAATTTTTTTCTATGACCTCGTGAATGTGTTTCTCTTTCTCTTCAGTATATAGAATTCCTTCAAGAATCTTCTCCAATACCCTGGGTTTCATCCTTGGAACCCATACTGAAAGAAGAGAACTAACTCTTCAAAGTTGTCCTCTGATCTCTACATGTGTGCTGTGGTGCACCGCCATATTCATATCCTCCTTCTCTTCCTCCCGAGCTCCCTTCCTTCCAAGCTCCCTTCCCCCACCCCTCCCTCTCACACACATAAGTAAAATTAAATATTAAAACAAAATAAAAAAAATAGAGGTCTTATAGAAGTCAGCAGTGGCTACATCTGGACCTGATATTTTTGGTTGGCAAGATAGAGCACATCTTTAATCCCATCTCTCAGGAGGTAGAGGCAGATGGATTTTTGTGAGAGGCCAGCCTGGTCTATATAGTGAGTTCCAGGCCAGCTGGGGCTACACGGAGACCCTTTCTCAGAAAAAGAAAAGCATAAATAAATAAATTCTCCAGAGCTGACATAGTGGGCATGAATTCCTTTAGTTTGTGTTTATCATAGACTATTTTTTTTCTTCAGTAGTAAAAGACATCTTTGCTGGATATGGTAATCTGGATTGGCAATATTGTCATTCTGATCTTGAAATACATTGTTTCATATCCCCAGGCTTTTAGTTTCTATTGAGAACTCTGCTATTTCTGTGATAGGTTTATCTTTTTTCTTTTTAAAAAAATATTATTTTTATTTTTATGTGTGTGAGTGTATTGCCTGCATGTGTGTGAGTGCACCCATGTTGTGCAATGCCATGGAGGTCAGAAGAAGGCTTCGGATTCCCCTGGAACTGGAGTTAAGGATGGTTTGTAGCTGCCATATGGGTGCTGGGAATTGAACCCAGGTACTCTGCAAGAGCAGTCAGTGCTCTTAACTGCTAAGCCATCTCTCCAGCCCCAGTTGTCTTTTATATGACTTGGTGCTTCTTTCTTAGAGCTTTTAGTATTCTTTGTTCTGTATACTTAGTGGTTTAATTGTAATATGTTGTGCCAGGCTTCCTTTCTAATTTGTTTTTATTTTGTTTTATGTGCATGAGTGCTTTGCCTGGATTTATGTAAGTGCACCCATTTATGCTGTGTGCTCATGGGGGTCAGAAGAGGGCATCAGATCCCTGGAACTGGAGTTAATGGCTGGTTGTTAGCTGCCATGTAGGTGCTGGGAACCGAACCTGGGTTCTCTACAAAAGCAACCAGTGCTCTTAACCACTGAGCCATCTGTCCAGCTCCTCAGGTTCCCTTCTGTTCTTGTTTGTTTGGTGTTCTAAATGCCTCCTATATCTAGATGACCATCTCTTTCTCTAGATTTAAGAATTTTTCTTCTAGGTTTTATTGAATATATTTTCTATGCCTTTAGATTGTGCTTTTTCCTTTGTCTGTGCCCTTGATTCATAAGATTGGTCTTTTAGTGATCTTATGGTCTGCTCATACTTTATTATTATTTTTTTTTGGGGGGGGGGTCTTTTTGAAACAGGGTCTCTCTGTAGCTCCAGCTGTCCTGGAACTCACTATGTAGACCAGGCTGGCCTTGAACTCACAGAGAGCCGCCTGCCTCTGCCTCCCAAGTGCTGGGATTAAAGGTGTGCACCACCATGCCTGGCCCCTGCATTATTATTTTTATTGTTGTCTGAATGTGCTAATTAATTTACCTCATCTTTAAGCCCTTCCATCATCCCATTGGTGTGGCTTTCTACAGTGTATTTTGTTTGCTGAGTTTTTCTTTATTTATTTATTATTTTTTAAAATTTGTTCTTAGTCTTTTCTTGAGATGGGGTCTCCCTGTAGCCCCTGCTGACCTGGAACTCACTATGTAGGCCAGGCTGGACTTGAACTCATAGAGATTCACCTGCCTTTGCCTCCTGAGTGCTGGGATTAAAGGCATGGTCTACCACGCCTGACCTATATATTATTAGGCAATATATAT